AAAACTCAAGTTCAGGGCTGGAGAGATGACTCAGTGATTTAGAGCACTTGACTACTCTTTCAGAGGTCCTGAGTTCAATTCCCAGCAACCACACGGTGACTCACAACCATCTATAATGAGATCAGATTCCTTCTTCTGGTGTATACATAAAGTACATGAATAAATAAATTTAAAAAAAAAGAAGTTGAGAACAATCTTTAAAAAAAAATCCAAAAAACTCAAGTCCAAATGGATTAAAGACCTCAACATAAAGCCAGTCACACTGAACTTTATAGAAAAGAAAGTGGGAAGTACACTTGAAAGCATTGGCACAGGGAACTACTTCCTAAATAGAACCCCAGCAACACAGACACTGAAACAACTAATAAACGGGACCTCCTGAAACTAAAAAGCTTCTATAAAGCAAAGGACATGGTAACAAGACAAAACGGCAGCCTACAGAATGGGAAAAGATCTTCACTAACCCCACATCAGACAGAGGTCTGATCTCCAAAATATATAAAGAACTCAAGAAATTGAACACCAAAAGATCACATAATCCAATTTAAAAAATGGAGTACAGACCTAAACAGAGAACTCTCAACAGAGGAATCTAAAATGGCTGAAAGACACTTACGGGAATGTTCAACATCCTTAGTCATCAGAGAAATACAAATCAAAACAACTCTGAGATTCCATCTTACACCTGTAAGAATGGCCAAGATCAAAAACATTGATGTCAACTTATGCTGGAGAGGTTGTGGGATGCAGGGAACACTCCTGCATTGCTGGTGGGAAAGCAAGCTGGTACAGCCCCTTTGGATGTCAGTGTGGTGATTTCTCAGAAAATTGGGAAACAACCTTCCTCATGACCCAGTAATACCACTTTTGCGTATATATATCCAAAGGATTCTCAACCGTGCCACAAGGACATGTGCTCAGCTATGTTCATAGCAGCTTTGTTTGTCATAGCCAGAACCTGGAAACAACCTAAATGCCCCTCGACTGAAGAATGGATAAGGAAAATGTGGTACATTTAAACAATGGAGTACTACACAGCAGAAAAAAATATAATGACATCTTGAATTTTGCAGGCAAATGGATGGAGCTAGAAAACATTATTTTGAGTGAGGTAACTCAGACACAGAAAGACAATTATCACATGTACTTACTCATAGGTAATTTTTAAACATAAAGCAAAGAAAGCCAGCCTACAAACCACAATCCCAGAGAACTCAGACAACAATGCAGACACTAAGAGAGACTTACATAGATCTAATCTACATGGGAAGTAGACAGTAGAAAAAGACAAGATCTCCTGAGTAAATTGGGAACATTGGGGACCTTGGGGGAGGATTGAAGTGGGGAGAGAAGAGGTAGGGAGGGGAGCAGAGAAAAATGTAGCGCTCAATAAAATCAATTTAAAAAAAAAGAAACGCAGGGACTTGTGGTGTGGAAGATTCTTCTGTCTGTTTGTTGCTTTTCTTAGCTAATGAATAAAGAAACTGCCTTGACCTGTTGATAGGATAGAACTTAGGTAGGTGGGGAAGATGGAACTGAATTCTGGGAGGAAGAAGGCAGAGTCAGAGAGACACTATGGAGCCGCGCCAGAGTCAGACATACTCGAACTTTGCTGGTAAGTCACAGCCTTGTGATATACAGATTAATAAAAATGGGTTAAATTAAGATGTAAGAGCTAGCCAATAAGACACGAGAGGTAATGGGCCAAGCAGTGAACTAATTAATACAGTTTCTGTGTGGTTATTTCGGGGCCAAGCTAGCCAGACAGCTGGGACGAACAAGCGGGACTCCCTCCAATAAACTTCTGATATTTTGTTTAAAACTAAAGCAAGCTTTTAGCCTGGTGGTGGTGGTGTACACCTTTAACCCTAGCACTCAGTACCCGGGAGGTAGAGGCAGATCTCTGTGAGTTCCAGGTTAGCCTGGTCTACCGAGTGAGTTCCAGGACAGCCAGGGCTACACAGAGAAACCCTGTCTCAAAAAAAATCATAAAATTAAAATAAAAAACAAAGGAAATAAAACAAGCATTTAAGAAGTTAAATGTAGCTGGGTGGTGGTGGTGCATGCATTTAATCCCAGCACTCGGGAGGCAGAGACAGGTGGATCTCTGTGAGTTCGAGGCCAGCCTGGTCTACAGAGTGAGCGCGAGGACAGGCTCCAAAGCTACAGCGAAACCCTGACTTGGAGGGGGGGCGAGTAAATGTGGATTTGCCTTCTGCGGGGTTGCTATCCTGTCTGGTAGTTGCTGAAAAGCCAGGCTCTACCTCTGAGTTCACCGTTCAGTAACAGTATACATACACCACAGAGACAGGTGGCTGTTCATTCTGTATGGTTGTAGGTCCTGCTGTAAAGTTGATGAAGGTGGTAAATCTACTCCCTGAAAACCTATACTGCAGACACGGGCAGAAACAATATTCCACAAATTGCCGAAGGAAGCTGTTCATTGTAGGAATTCTGTAGACAAAGGTGCCAGAACCACAGGATAAAAATCCCTGAGAAGGGTATCAAATCTGGTGTTTTTTGTTTTGTTTTTAAAAATGTTTTCCTTAGTGGTGGTGGCACACACCTTTAATCCCAGCACTCAGGCAGAGGCAGGAGGATCTCTGTGAGTTTGAGGCCAGGCTGGTCTACAGAGTGAGTTCCAGGAAAGCCAAGGCTACACAGAGAAGCCCTGTCTTGAAGAAATGAAAAAAAAATTACATTTATTTTATTCTTTGTGTGTGCACATGCGCACGTGCACACACACACACACTCAACACTCACACTCACACTCATGCATTTATGCCAAAGCATACATATGGAGGTAAGAAAACAGCTTATAGGAACCATGTCTCTCCTTCCAGCACATGCCCTTGGAACTGAGGGCATCAGGCAGCAAGCATCTTTACTCACCGAGCCAACTCCGCCTGCCACTTGGGTGTCTTTTATTTAAAGTCTACACTGCTATTCGCCAACTTCACCTATACACATGAAGGGGGAAAGGAGGTGAATGGATGAGGCTTTGTGCCCACTTTATTATATTTTTGAGATAAGTTCTCTCCTTTATGTAGCTCTGACTGTCCTGGAACTCACTTTCTCAAACTCAGAGATCCACCTTCCTTTGCCTCCCAAGTTCTGGAGTTAAAGGGGGTGCACCACCATGCCTGGTTTATGTGCCCATTTCAAGTGATCAGAAATCAATTAGTGGTTTATTCAACTTAAATGATATGTAACTGAAAATATTAATGCCTGTTTGTGTCAAGTTCCTATTCCTCTTCTATGTCTAAGTGAGAGGAACCAAGCCCGTAGACAATTTTAAGACTAATTAAAATTCATGCTTTTATTAAATATGAGTAACCAATAGATGAGTGCTTTAACCAATAGATGAGCCTTCAAAAGCTTCAAATGACAGCTTAGACAAGAATTCGAAATAAAATCAATTTTATCAACCAAAGAGCTGCTGAAACATTCATTTCAATTATAGACTATCATTGACTTAAAAAATATGTAGCTCTCTCTTTCCAAAATTACCTAATTTTGTTAGACTTCACTTTTAAAACATCTTCTTTCCTTCTTCCCCCCTCCCTCCCTCCCTTTCTCTCTCCCTCCCTCCCTTCCTTCCTATTTTTTATGGCGGTACTGGGAATCAATCCTAGGTTTCATGGATGCAAGGTAAATGTTCTACAACTGAGCTGTGGCCTCAGTTGGAAATTTATTATAACCTCGAACACCACACATATCACATTGTTGCCGAGATACCTCCCTTGCGTATTAAAATTTTCCTATTACTAAGCAATACATTTTATTGAAACCAGAAAGAATGTAAAGGTGACCAAATGTACTTGGATTATCAGTAGAGAAGCAATGGGTCTGGGTGCGCACCAGGTATTGTTCAAACACACTAACTCAAATTTCGTTTTAAGCCAATTCGTTAAACCAGCCGTCTAAATGGGCCCTGGCACTGGATATCAGGCAGCTCCATACACCAGCTGGTAAGGCTTCCGATTAAAACCGGAAGCCACAGCCAACCGCCCTGGGTGTTGGGCTGGACGCACTTCCGCAAGGACTAGGGACATTGCTGACTGTATTCTCCCTCCCTGAAATACTTGGTTCTGGGATGCAGGTCCAATGCAGGCCTGGAGCCTTGAAACCAAACGTAGCTCAGCTCCTGCGTCTGTTCACCCCAGGGAGCCGAGGGAGGAAGCCTGTCCTTAGCCGGCCGGCCTGGGGTTGTGCTAAGGTGCACAAAGTACTGGGGCCCACGTGGCAGGATGAGAAAATCACTACATCCGGGGATGTCACCGTCCCGCCACCACCCTCGAATCATCCCAGTTCCTGTCGCTCTCGGACTCCTCCAAAGGCAGCATCTCTCGACTCTACTACGTGGAGTCAACACTAATGTCAGCCCCGCAGGGGACCTGGAGGCTGGACCACGTGCAGCCAGAGGGGTTTAGGTCGCTAACGTTTCGAGGCCATTTTCTCAGAAAGGTGCCTGTCAGAGGCTCAGGTTCAGAGGGTCATAATTTTATTGTACCATGCAGCTGACCGGAGAGCTGCCCCTCAGACACTTGAATATTTCTCTACCATTCCTGGGTAAGGTCTCTAGACTCTCCAAATGACCAGAGAGTCATTTAGGGGCGCCGTGGGGGATGGGGATGTCCCCAGGAGGGCGCAAGTGTTGACTTTGCAGCCAGAGGCGACCTGTCTGTCCGCGATGCTCCCAGCGGTTTCTTGTTGAGTGAAAGGTGGGAGAAAGGGAAAGCGGTGCTTTTGCCAAATATTCCCCCAAAGCCCCGGAACCCACTCCTTCGTGCTCCTCCATCAGGTCTTCCGCACCGTGGCAGTGCTTAAAACTCCCTCCCGGAGAACTCAGAGAAGGAGCAAGCAGTCTGGTCGAGCTCTAAGCTAACTAGCCCAAGAAAGACCCAGGAGTGCCGATGTCCCGACCCCCAGCCTCTACAAGGGCTTGGAACTTCCAAAAACGGCCTTTCAGAAAGAACTCCATTAAGCCCAGAGAACCGGTGCTCGCCTTGACAGTACATATACTAAAATTGGAACTATACAGAAAAGATTAGTTTGGCCCCTGTGCAAGGTTGCCACGCAAATTCATGAAGTAACTCCGCATTAAAAGAAAACAACCAGTGAATCGAGCGACAGTGGCTCCGAACCCACCTCCTTACATCTGAAGGTGACCTTATGTCCACAGTCAGGTTTTTCCTCTTCTTCCCAGAACAGTACTGGTTGTTCAGAGGTTAAATGATGAACATATGTCCCAGGCTTTGCTGGGAACAATTCCTTTTCTTAAGAGCATCGCAAGGGGGGGGGAGGGGATGATTTAGCTATAAGCTGATAATCGAGTAGTTGTGGTCAGACACACCTTCCCCAACCTCACTATTCGAGACCATGTGACCACATAACGCCCAGTAATCCGCTATCAACACGTTTTGCAGCCATTTGATTGTTAAGGAGATTTTTATTAATGGTTCATGATCCTAAATGTGACTAGCAGTTCTGGAAACAGTTTAATAACTCCGAGTTTTGGTTATCTGGTTGTAATGTAGTCTAAGGCTTCTGGAGGTTAAGGTTGTGAGATTGGGATGGGGCCTAATTCACTGGACCCCAATACCAGTCGCTAAGAACTTACCCTTCAGTTGTGACCTGAAGATATGGGAACAAAGGTTCACGGACAGTGTTTCCCAGGGACTATTTGTTGGTCCCTTCACAAGTTGTCCAATGTGGTGCGGGGAGGGGATAAGGGAAGTAACCGCACAGGATGCCTGCTAGGAATGAACACCTTGTTTTTAAGGAAACCCTCAGGTTGGAAATGGTCCCCAGGAATGTCAAGTAGACTCAGGAATACTCAGTAGCTAAATCCCTTTTCCATCCTTGCAAAGAGGCCAGTTAAGACTCTGACACTACAGGGAGGGTGGCAGGGGATTCTATCTGATTCAGAAACACCCTTCTCCCTCCTGGAGCCAACACAGGTCAGCTCAGACCTTACTAGCTTACCATTGTTTGCTATGGGATTCTTTTTTATTCTGCATGTTTGTTTGTTTTCTTCAAACACTGTTTCCACTAAGAATTGGAGGTAGAGGGTGGAGAAAGTTGGGGAGTAAAAGTTAAGTCCTAGACCCCATGCAGTTAGACTTTCCCTCTAGGAGAAAAACACATTTTGAAGTTGCCCTTCCCAGAAGATGGTGGCACAGCTGCCCGGCACCTACAGTCATCTTTGACTAAAGGGATTGGACCTAGTAGGGCTCCTTTATTTGAATCTGCTCGTTGTTTGTTTGCAGTCAACAGCAGGTTGGTTCTTAAACATAAAACACAGTGCTGGCGGGAGGGGAGGTCTGACTGATTCTTCTTAGCATTTGGGAGGGACCTCCTTTGGTCGCGAGGGCTGGTGCAAGCAGAAGGCTTTTCAAATGCATTACCTGCTTCCTCCTCTCCAGCCACTTCCGCATACACAAGTTACTTGCTTCCGTTTCCTCCAAATGCTGCCATCAGAAAAAACTACCTTTTCCAAATAATGTATACATCCTGTTCGCATTGAGCATAAAACAATTTTAAAAAACACTTCTCCAAGTTACATGACTATTGGCAGGCAGTTGGAAGAAGCTCCAAGCAATTCCACATGTTTCTCAATATAATGGTGTACAACAGCTTTACACGTAATGTTAATTCTGTCTGAGATAAACCCTATCATCATCAGTTGCACAGCCAATCCCCCAAAATGTCGGGGTAGCCCTCCTTAGGGGTTTTGCAGGAGTAGACAGATGGTCTTCAGACTTTTATGCCCCACCAACCTAAGGGTGGAAATGGGGTTTCTGGGAGAATCAGGTTTATCACGGCCAGGGTGAGGGAGGATTAGAAAAGAAAAGCAGGTCCTTAGTGCTCTGTTCGTAGAGATGAGTATGCAGATGTCATGATCGGGGCATAAAGAAGGGCTGCTGTTCTCCTGATGGTTTAGGAGGAAGGCAAGGATGCAGGCACAGGTCAAGGACCAACAGAACACAGCGTCTTCGCATCCTGTTTTCTACTTCTATTTGTATGGGATGCCCGTCTTCTTTGTGTACGTCTTTTGCATGATTAAAACACACCTCTGCATGCAAGAGACCCCACCTAACATCAGTATACCTAGTTTGGGTTACAGCGTTGTCTTAATAACAATAGTGAGTTTCTCACCAGGTGTGAGGTTCTCGGTTTTGAACTTCCGTTTGCCCGACTGGCGGTTTCTGATTAATTGGAGATCGGCATTTGTGTGAGGCCTCTGCACTGCAGGTACTGGAATGGGACGAATTGGCAACCTGGCGACATCCATGACTCCGAAAGGAGTCGCTTCCCCATTCCAGAACTTGCTTCTGACCCTCTAGGCTGCGGCATCGGATCCCAAACCAAACCAGCTAACGTTCGTGGGGAAACGAGGCTGAGTGCCAATGAGTTTCTCAAGCTTCCGAGTCAGTACCCGGCTCTCAAAAGAGGGCTCGAACTCAGTGTATTCACTACCTAAGCACCTGGCTGTCCTTGAAATTCCCCAAGGGCAGGCACAGCTGGGCGCCCTGGTCCGAGGCGCTACAGGAGCCCTCAAGCCGAGCGACCAGCTTTCCCCAAGCTTCCGGGAGCAGCTGTCCTCTCCCAAGTCGCCTGCAGCGCGGCCCCCACCCCCACCCCCGGAACCCTGCAAAGCCAGTCATCCCCGGTCTCCTCCAGACCGACTTTCCGCAGTGCTAGCCCGAGGGACGCTGCTCGCCGGCCTCCGGTACGCTGAATACAAGTCGCTCGGACGCAGGACGCTTGCCTCCTAAATTGCTTTCCAAACCCCAAAATTGCCTTGACCCCTGAACTCCGCTAGGCTTAAAATATCCCAATGACACCCACCCCACTAGGTTCAGTAGCTGCGCGCGTGACAGGGCAGGGTCGCGCTCCCCCTGGCCCTGGCGGCGACTCCTCGTGCTCTCCAGGTCTGGCGACTGGATTGAAGGGACCTGCTAGTCTGGAGCGAAGTCCGGGACCTTGCAGGAGCCCCACGAAAAAGAAAGCCACCTGGCTAGGCCAGAACCTTCAACACCAGCAGGGCCGAAGGCAGCCCAGGAGCCCCCGCCCCAACTCTGATCTCCGGGCACAGCTGGGACGAGTTTCCTGGCAAGCTACTGTTGTTGGGAAGGACAGCCCTGAAGAAAGAGGGTCCGAGGCCTTCCGTGGACTGCCTCGACCAACTAGGGCACCAGGCTGTTTCTGGAAGTTGCGCCCGGCCTCCACAGCTGTTCTTTCCGGATATTTGAGTGGAGGGGTGGGTAGAGACACGCAGACACAGATGTGAGATTAGGAGCCAGGAGGAGTTGAGGAAACGACCATTTTCTAAACCTGGAGGTTTCGAAAGCCGGAACTTAATTAGCTTGATTGAATTTCTTTTTTTATCTACGAAGGGAACACTACCAAGGTGAAATCCAAAGGGCCAGGCATCTTTGTAAGAGGGAGTAAGGTTGGCTACAAACTTTGTAAAGCCAGTCTGTCCCCCACACCTCATCTCTGCCCTCCCAAATGAAGGTCGTATCGCCCGCTGACTTCCGATTAAGCGACTCCCTGACTCATTTGGAAGCGAGTCATTTCAGTACCAAATATCAAGCAGTATGGAACTTCATTAACTTCGTTAAACCCAGTCTTGATTAGGAGTGGCGATCAGAACTCCTAGCCAACGCTAGCTTCCCAGTCGCTCCCCTTTGCCTTTGATCGTGGGAAATCCTTTCTACTTTGGGACTTCATTCAGAGCAATTGAACTGTGTGGTCTCAGCTAAACGAAGCTGTGCAGAAGTGATGGAAAAATTGGTTTTAGAGACCTCCTTTCACTTCGTGTTCAGACCCTGAAGAAACCAAGTCATTGCTGAGCAGTCCTAAGCCTGCCAGATACTCATCCTGTTATTGCTAAGGTTTGCTGAAAACCAATGGCAATGTGAGGAATTGGTTGTTTAGAAGTTACTTTACTTTTGCACGGGAAAAAGCGCAGCATTAGAAACACACACACACACACACACACACACACACACACACAAAACTAGATCTGGGAAACCTAAAGACCTTGGGGCCCCAATATCACTTCATGGAAGACTAGAGAAGATGCATCACCTCCAGGTCCAGGAGGATCTAGCCAGCCAGCTCTGCAGTCATGATGGCTGCAAAATACTGTTTTATTTAGCAGTAAAACGATTTTACTTGTTAGGCCAAGATTAGATGAGATTCAAGGATACAGGCGGTTATGGGAAATTAAATAACCAGAAAACAAAATGGTTGCAACAGCTAACCTTCATTTATAGAATTACAATCAAGAGTCATTGAATTTGGTCAAATTTAAGAACATAAGAAGTTTAAGATGAAACTGAATAGTTTTTTTTTTCCTAACCCAAGGAGTACCACAATCATTGGCCATTTATCTTCTTTAGTAACTCCTACAATCAAAAAAGGGACGCTCCCCTTTCCCCAGCACACACACACACACACACACACACACACACACACACACACAAAAGCACTGACTGACCAGCATGCCTTATGTTCAACTACTGAAATTATAGGTTTTTAAAGTTTTCTGAAACTCTTTTGTTCAGAAATCATTTCTGCCTGAATTGCTTTCAGATTCTGATTACACTCATGTTTACCCCATCTTTTTTTTTTCAAGGAAAAAAATGTCCTTAGAGAACTGAAACAAGAAATTCTTACCATTCCCTTTTCTGAAATTCTCCAGTTTTCCCCTAAACACACAGGCACGCACAAACTAATCTATCTAAAAAACACCTCAACCAAGTGCCTAACCAATGACTCAAGCTCGCCAGGGAGGGAAGGGTGACTGGGAGCTGCCACTTCCGTGTGCAGCAATCCTGAGGGAAGTCAGCTCACAAACCCGTCGTTCCTAACTAGTACTAGTTCAGCCAAAGGAAAAGGAAAAGCGCAAGAAGCAAAGTCACTAATATCTGCTCTGCCTTCCAGTAAACACTTGGGAAAGTGAGGCTGAAGATAGGCTTTTCATTCATAAGCAATGGTATAAAATTACACTAGACCCAGTGTTGTGCTAGAACCATTTTTAATATAATTATACATATCTGCCAAATCCAGGGTGAAAGGGTTTATGCATATATA